TGAATCGTGTATAAAAAATACGTGTTTGTGGGTGCGTTTTTGTGTTACACACTGTGCATAATATACAGCGAATTTAAAATAGAGAAGAAAAAAAACGAACTCGGAAAATCGGCAAGTACATAAAAAAAAATTTTAAATCGCAGTACTGCCATTGAATCACGCCTCGTCTCATATAATACCGATCATCCCCGTCGTCTACTATTATCGTGATTTAATAAACCTCCTCCCGCGCGTGTGAGAGCGTCTATAATAATCTTTCATATAAAGCGTGTCCTGCTCGTCGTCTTCCTCGTTCGATCGCTCGCAGACAGCACAGCTCCGCGCGTGTTTCATCGTCGCTCGAATTCTTCGGCATACATCCGAAACGCAATAATAAGATCGCAGAGCTCTAGCGACGCCCGCCGCGGTGGAATATATTAGACCTCGACGTGGATGGCATACAAGATCGGCAGCTACGTACAATTAATAGCGCGACATCGGGCGCCGAAGTCTCTCTCTCACATTCGACGTGCGTGCCGCGATACGCTGCTGCTGCTACAGAAAACTATGCGCCGGGGCTTTGCTCTGCATGTCATATTGCTGTGAATATAGGCTCGGATATCTCAAGAGAGAGACTAGACAGTGAAAGATGGAAATGAGATTTGAGAAAAGTCGCGAGAGGGGTGGAATCGTGATTGGAGAACGATTTGTTATGCTGAAATTGCAAAAGATTCAACTTCCAGCCAAACAAACGTCAATTAAGATAATTTCATTAACGAGTACAAAACACAGCCATAGCAGGCTTATCGACCGTACGCGTGCCAATATTGGCAGCGTAGCGTCTAATCTCCTCATTAGAGCCTGCTGTTGTGAACTTTGGCTAATTGCCGATAGCAAGGTTATTTTTCCAATTTATCGTTCATAACTAACTTTGTGTGTGCATACGTGTCATCGTGCTTGTGAGTTCGTCGAAGGTCAGAAGTAAAATTCTCGAGTGTACCTACTGTGTTTGTGTACGCGCAGCAGCTCCGTATATACTTGCAATTTTTCTGACTTATCGAGGAGAAATACATGCTTCTTGAATTACGTCGGGGCTTTTGCCGCGAGTAGCCGACGGTGCTTTTAAAGTCTTTGTCAAAGATCAACTCTCTTTGCGCGCTCTCACCCGCTCCGGCTTATATACATTGTTATATGTGTGTGTAAGTATAAGGAACAGCGCATCGGCACTTTATAAGTTCTTTGGTTCTCTCTCTCTCTCTCTCTTTCACTGCTTGGTTGCCGCTGCTGCTCATGAGAATCATTGAGAAACTCATATAGTTGCACGTTTGGCCAGTTTGTCTTCAAAATAGTTTAGATTCGCCGCCTGGCGATGCTGACTACACGATATAATTCACAAGCTACAACTGAAAGCTAAAATTAATTTATTATTTATTTTCATGAGCAAAATATAAAAAACATGCTATGTCAATTCATCGGCAAAAAGCTTTCTTCTAAAAATCGTATCTTTATGTATTATTGCTGACAGAAAATCATCAATCCTCTTTTCTAAAACAATCTTTCAAACCTGACCTTCAGACGGGAAAAAACTCAGTAACTCCTATAGAAGTTTTGGAGCTGAAAAATGTCGTGATTCGTTGAGCGTAACAGACAGTCAAGTTCGAGGCAGACATCACCATGCAGCTATTTGTTGAAGTGAATCGTCTACTACCGCGTTGGGCAGAGGAGTGAATGCACAAAAAACGAGCGAGCGCGATAATCGTTGGTTCTCAAGAGTCCGTGGGTCTCAGGGAGTAGGTCAAGAGTAACATGGATGGTTTTCACGCCGCTCTTGACAGTGCTGACGAGATTCTGCTCACTTGTGCTTCTGCTGCGGCGAGTTTCGCGCACGTACTTACACTCTATGGAAGGAAGTGTATATTAATTGGAATTTACAATAAACATGTTTATGCATACACACAAGGGTCTTTATGAATTTATTTTATCAACTATTTTTAGGGATCTCAAAATATTTGTAAAATTATTGAATGTGGAATATTCAAAGTTATTTAAAAATGTTGCAAAAACTAAAGGCAAGTTATAATAAATGCAGAACTTAAAATCTTTTTAGAAGTGCCAACGACATCGAATAGAGAATGGAGTCAATGTGTTGATAAAGTTAGCAATCTATAAAAAACGCACGAAATCAACAAGTACGGGTTCTGGGTTTAAGAACGCTACCAACAATGAGAATTTAGATCGTTTCATAAATAATGTAAGATTAATGATAATTATAGTAGTTATGTAGATAAAAATTGATTAAATAAAAAGTGATGGGTATAAACAAAAGTGTATATAAGCGAATCTTTTATTTCATTTATTTTACCCCACTGTCTTTAGTAAAACAATAGCAGGGTAGAGTATATTAAATAAACAATGCAGCCGAAAAACCAACAATTATTTCTACGTGTCGCCACTGACGCAACCTTGACTCGCACTACCTCAATTAACGTTTAAACGCAACTGAATACAATTGTATGTAACATAAAAATTATGGTATGGGTATGCTAACACACGTATTATCATTTACTGCGATTCACAGGTAGAGAGTCCTATATTGTGTTGTTGCTGATCGAGCTACACGGACGAACACATATAGCGCGAGTAATTTTTAAGAGGGAGCTCTTTACCAATGAATTGGCAGCAATTTTTTGATGTTTTATCAAAGACAGTTTAATTTTAATGCGGGATTTTTTCGTGAGTCAAAATAATGATTTATCATATATATTTTTTTCTTCGCGCGTGTTATACCTATGTTTTATTTTTGATCAAAGAATGTGCTTACAAAGAAGTTAATTTTTTAGAGCGTATTTTTTTTACTTAAATGTCTATTGTCCTGTATTGAATTGGTTTAGAATAAGAGAACTTTTTGTTAAAAGTACTTAATATTACTAAAAGTCGTTTCTTTAAAAAGAATTGCACACAATTTTTTATAGCACTGCGTTGCATAAATCCGCACTTATGCCACGCTTTTGCGTTGCATAGATGGCGCTTTACGGCATGTTTTCGTGAGTCGTGCCATAATCTCAATCTCTATGTAGTTGGGGTTATGCAGACGACTTATGAGAGTTTACAACACATATACAACAATTCAATGTGATGAGAAGACTAAATATACTTGTAAAGCTTGTTTTTTTGTGTGACAGTTTTTATTAATGCATAGCTCAAAGTATTAGTTATATCTATGTTTTACATTTAAATAATTCTAAGTAACAGCTTATGTTGACTTATGATTTTAATGATGATCAAGTTCTTCTTTGAGGATATTGCAGTTTATGAGAGTAATTGAATTATGCATACCAGCTTCTATTCTACTCAGCGGACCCCGGAAGATTAGCACAGGACCTTGGGTCCCAGTCAAATGCGATGAAAATTTTTTTACATATAGATTTCGACCTCCTGAACAATAATCAACATATAAGTGACCCTCGAAAATGAGCCGTTTACGAGAAAAAAATTATTAAAGTTGCATATTTTTAGACCCGCTTAACGTAACCTCTCTCTGCTCGCTATAGACGTAAGCAAGGGTATCGCGAGAAAGCGAATTTATATTTTAGTATCACTTACTCCTAACTTTTTATGAAGAAAGACATGAAAGCAGAACATTTTTGGCATAATATAATGCCATATAGACCAAAAATTCTAAAAGTTGCCGCGTAGATTGCCCGTACCTCACCGCAAAATCACTGCGAATTTGCGCATTTTCTATTTTTGCGTTTTATCACTTGCACTAGAACTTAAAAGAAAAAACATAAAAGCAGAATATGTTGAGGATCTTACATGGCCAGAGAGGTCACATTTTCTTGATAGTCAAAATTTGTTATATTTTATAAACGTGACGGTGAAAAGTCAATTACTTAATTTTGTTTATTAAGGGGGGAAAGGCACCTAAAATCTAAAAAAAAAAATTTTTTTTCATTGACTTTTTTGATAGGATTTTTCCTCGGCTTTCAAGTGCCATGATCGGAATTTTAAAATTTTAACTGTACCGTGATGTACAGCTTATTTAGTGCCGATACTTTTACGATTATTTAGAAAAAATGAATGAAACGACTCAAAGATATATCGTTGCCATTCTTTCATGAATCTCGAGACTTTCATAAGTCGGTAGCGCCATCTATTGATACTCGTTTTATTCTTTGGTTAGAGTACATCTAGCAGAAATTGTTTGTTTACATTTCTATAGGTGTACAGTAACGCCACCACTCTGTTTCGTGCACGAGCTCTGATCAAATGTCAACAACAGTCTGCTGACTGCTTCTTGATTTTTCAATGGCTAAAAATTACATTTTTTTTAAAGTGAAAAAAGTATATGTAGAGTGCAATTATATCTTTGCAACTCAACATAGTGTTTCATAATAAAGCTATGAAGAAGTTTCAATAGCTTGTTATAAAAATGTTACATTTTTAGCAGTTCTAATTCAAGAAATATAGAAGTACATATATGTAAATTGACATGTGTACATCAGTGTATATGTATGTCACTGTACTATATGAATGTGTATATGACTGTATCATATATATTATTGTATGTTGCATGTGATGAACAAGATTAGTGATAATTGATCAACTTGTAGTGATTTATTTCCTAGTATCTAGTGATAAATTTTTTATGAATGTTAGTGAATAGGTAGAAGACTGGGTTCAAATTCTAATGTGAGATTGTGTATATTTGTGTGAAAAGTTGATTTGGACATAATCAACTTAGTTACCAGTTTCCACATAAATGTTATGATTGTCCTTGATATTAATAAATTAAGACTTGTATGTGAATATGTACTTTATTGATAATCAGTTGATACGACGCAACATCATGTTGGCACGGAGGCCCGTGATCATATGGCGTGTCGCAACAGTGACCGCGCGCCGTAGCCCCTAAACGTCCTCTGGGCCTTTAGGCTCAGTTCACACTACAACATCTCCCTTTCTTTATCTTATACTAATTTAAGTTAAAATAGTTACACTGGTTGACTTTAACATTATAATTAATTTAAGACAAAATCTTTATATTTAGATGGCATCTTTACAGTTCTACCCGATCTAGTCTGCCTCATTGGCTCATTCGCCTGAGTGTCATAATTTTGACTTTGATTAGGTGTGACCTCCTTATCCGCACTAGCCAAAAGCTCCGATTCTTGTGGTTCGGAAGGAGGGAGAGTATTTGATAATTCTGTATTTGAAATTTCATCTCCACATTTATCTGCTGTATTAAAGTTTGTACCTTTTGATAACATTTTTCTATTTCTGCACAATATTCTCCCTTCCTCCGTTTTAACTTGATACGAGCGTGGTTCTGAACCTTCTCTAACAATCACACCATTTCTATGAGGTAACACTCTATTTTCATCGTGAATTTTTACATAATCTCCTTCTTTCAACGGACTCAACATTTTAGCACCTCTATCAAAATATTCTTTTTGTTTTAATTGATTATAAATTAGATTTTCTTTGAATTCTCTTCGACTAATTGGCTTGTTTTTACAAAATGGAATTAAGTTTCGTGTTTTTCGCCCAAAGAGTAGTTCTGTTGATGTTACACCCATCTCATTAATTGGAGTATTTCTATATTGCAACAGAGCTAAGTGCATATCTCTCTTTTCTTGTATAATTTTATAAAACATCTTTTTTACAGTTTCTATATATCGTTCAGCGAGACCATTTGCCTGATGGTGCTTGGGAGATGTAATTGTGCATTTGAAATTCCATTCTTTGCTAAATTTTCTATAAATCTCACTAGTGAATTGTGACCCTGAGTCCGAGTACACTTCTTTAGGAATTCCCAACCGCGAAAAAATCTTTTTTAATGTCTCGACAATGTGTTGGCTTCCTAGATTATCAAGCTTTTCAACTTCAACAAATTTACTGTATGTATCTACTACCAATAAATAGAAATTTTCTTTAAATTTAAAAATATCAGTCGACACTATCTCCCAAGGACCATCTGGTATTTTTTTTAACAAAATCGGTTCTTTTGAATTCTTATTCCTATAACTTAAACAGGTGTCACAGTTTGATACCATATCTTCAATGTGTTTATTGAGACCTGGCCAGAAAATCACTTGTCTAGCAAATGCTTTGGTTTTTTCTATTTCCAGATGTGGGTAATGAATTTGCTGCAGTACATGCTTTCTACAATTTTTAGGTATCACTATACAGAAGTTTTTTAGAATTAAACCATTAGATGTGCTTAATTCTTCTTTAAATGACCAATAAGGCTTTGCTAGTTCATTGACATTATTTTTATTTTCTGGCCAACCCTCCTGAATGTACTTTTTAACAATTTGTAATTCCTGATCATTGTTTGTCTGTATTTCAATCTCTTTTAATCTTTCATCAGTAAAGTCTGCGTTTTTAGTTACCATGCAAACAAATGTTTCAATTTTTTCAGTTTCCAACTCAGTCTTTTCCTTTGAATACGTTCTACTCAGATGATCAGCTATTACAATTTGTTTGCCTGGTTTATAAACAATTTTAAAATTATATGGTTGTAAACTTATTTTAATTCTATGTAGTCGAGGTGGACATTTATTTAGAGGTTTATTAAATATTGCCACTAATGGCTTATGATCAGTTTCTACTATGAAAGATTGGCCATACAGATATTGGTAAAATTTGGTACATCCATGCAAGATAGCGAGACATTCTCTCTCAATCTGACTATATGTTTTTTCAGTGTCATTTAGAGCTTTTGATCCATAAGCAACTGGCCTATAATTTTGTAATAACACACACCCTGTTCCTTCACTGGAGGCATCAACACTTAATACTATTTCTTTACACATATCAAAAAATGCCAAAACAGGAGGCTTACATAACATTTCTTTTAGTTGCGCATACTCTTTGCTATGATTTTCATTCCACAGAAATGGAACTCTACTTCTGGTCAATTGCCTCAGATTGGCAGTAATTTGTGACAGGTTTGGTATGAACTTTCCTACATAATTAATAGTACCAAGAAATCTCAATAGTTCTTTTTGTGTTTTAGGCTCTTGCATTTCATAGATTAGTTTTACTTTGTCTGGATCTACATTTAAACCACTCTGATTAATAATATGACCCATGTATCTCACTTCTGTCACATTAAACTTGCACTTGTCTTTATTAAATCTTACATTATACTTTTTGGCTTGTTCAAGCACTTTTTTCAAAATTTCATTCGATTGCTCAACAGTTTCTGCCTATATTAGTATGTCATCTATATAGATTACAACATTCTCAATATTTTCAAAAATTTTACTATATACACGGTGAAATACTTCAGGACTTGAATTTAAACCATAAGGTAACCTTTGATAACAGTATCTACCGTAAGGAGTGTTAAAAGTAGTGTACTCCTGAGACTCATCACAAAGTTCTATTTGCCAAAATGCCTTGTTGGCATCAAGAGTCGTGAAGTATTTAGCACCATTGAGTTTTGAAGCGATTTCTTCAATTGTAGAAAATTGTTGTTGTTTCCTTAAAATACAACTATTTAAGTACTGTGGATCTAAACAAATACGAATTTTACCGCCTGGCTTATTTACCATTACAAGAGAGCTTACAAATTCTGTGGGCTTCTCTATTTTTTTTATTATGCCCATTTTTTCCATTTTATTTAATTCCATTTTTAATTTTTGTTGTAACTTAAAAGGAACATGTCTACTAGGCTCAACTTTTCCACAAACATTATTTTTCAGTTTAATTCTGTATTTGAAATCTTTTATTTTGTCCACCCCTGTAAATAGCTCTGTATACATGTGTAAAAATTTGGGTATTTTCTCAAGTATTTTAACTTCACATACTTCATTTAATTCTACCTTCAAGTCAACATTATTTTCTGGTTTTATTAGTAAATTACATTTTCGAATAGTCGGCAATCCTATAATAGGAGTGCCTCTTCCATCATAAATTTCAAACCTTAAATTTTGGATAAGCCCGTTAATTTTACAGTTTATAAGTTTACTTTCCCAATGGTTTTTATTCTTTCATGAGCGTAGTTCTTTAATATTAGATTTGTTTTTTCAATCGTTTTAATACCCAATTTTATACACATGTCTACAGGCAGCACATTACATTGTGCTCCTGTATCGAGTTTAAACATCAATTTCTTATTTTTATAATCAATTACTTCAACCTGTTGCATCCAATCTTTTTCTGTATTGATGCTGTCGACGTGTATACTTTCTATTACATAACCTTCTGAACCGGTTTCATATTCTTCGTCGTCCACATCAACTACTTGAATCCTTTGAGCGTTGCACATTTTGCTGAAGTGATTCATCTTGCTGCAATTATTACATGCTTTCCCATACCATCTTAATAAAAGACCTTGCCGGCCTTGGCATCTATGCTCCCTTCAACATCGAGAGCCTGATTGCAGGGCCAAACATCCCGGCCTGCAAAGCGGTCTTCGCCTTTCTGACTCGATGCCACATCTCTGTTTAAGCCATACTTGCACTCTCACTCATCTCACAACGCAATTCACTCTCACCCTCTCCTCCCACCATACCTTTTGTAAAACAAGAAAAAAAATGTAATAATAATAATTTTCACACCGGCCTAATTCTAATTTTATACACTATATATAATCGCATGTAATTCTATTTGTAAATAACTGTAACACAAATGCAATAAAGCAAGTGTGAATACCCCTAGACGGGTCCTAACACACTATAATATAAAAAAAAAAAAACATGCTTTCCCATACGCAGGACATCTATTCCATTCATGTACATAACCGCATTTCTTACACGGATTTGTTCTTCCACTCTTGAATTTTGTCGAATCCGAGGTCGTCGAGCTGGCGTTGCTGAGGTTGGTCGATGCCGCCCCCTGTTGTCGTGGATTGAGATTTTTCGGTTTATCGTAGTTGGACTGCTTCTTTGTTGATTTTTTCTGAGAATTGTGCTCTTTTCGCATATAAGCTACTTCTGCGTTTTCTTCAAATTTTTTCACTTGGGCTTCCGCCAACTCAGCCGTTCTACATATTTTTATTGTTTTCGTCAAGTCTAGATCACTTTCACGCAGCAAACGACTCTTCAATACTTTATCGGAAATGCCTGCGATTATTCTATCTCGAATAAGTCTTTCTTGTAAAGTTCCAAAATTGCAATCTTTACTCAGTTTTCTTAACTCTGTCACGAATGCATCAAAACTCTCGTCACTATGCTGATTTCGTGTGAAAAACAGATGCGAATAAACACTTTCATTTTTTGCCGGTACAAAATAATCATCAAATTTCTTAATCACTTCTGAATATTTTTTCTCCTTTTCTATCAGGGAAAAAGTATTATAGATATCCAGGCACTGCTCACCCATGCAGTGTAGGAGTAGAGCCAATTGTACTTTGTCTTCCTGCTTGTCAGCACCTGATGCAGTTCTGTATATTTCAAAGCGTTGTTTCCATCTTGTATAGCTCTCCATTGTTAGGTCAGCCAACGACTCTGGTGGTTTTAACCCCGTCAGGCTTTGTGTGGGCGCCATTTTTATTTCTCTCTTCGTTTCAAGCAGAGCACTTATCCACGCACCCATTCACTTATTTTATTCACTATATTGTTCACCACAGCCGCAGCGCCATGTTATGATTGTCCTTGATATTAATAAATTAAGACTTGTATGTGAATATGTACTTTATTGATAATCAGTTGATACGACGCAACATCATGTTGGCACGGAGGCCCGTGATCATCTGGCGTGTCGCGACAGTGACCGCGCGCCGTAGCCCCTAAACGCCTTCTGGGCCTTTAGGCTCAGTTCACACTACAACAATAAAACCCATATTAGCGTATACTAACATTTTAGTACAACTTATAAAATGTAGTGATGAAATTGGCGTATTTGGCTTTGTGTGGCTGTCTGGAATAATTGAACAGTGTCCATGTGGGTTCAATATGTTGAAAATTCAAATTGAATTACTGTTCTTTATCGTCCAAAAAGTTTTAAGCAGCCTCAGTGACATGAGAGTATCATTATGACATATATTGATGTATTTTGGTTTTCTTCAACTCTTGGGCAGTTACGTTTTATCTCAAAATTGCTTTGTTGCCGTAACTTTCCATGTAAACCGTTTGAGCAAATGAGCTAAAATTTTCGGGGATTGTTCTACATGAGAATGGCTACAAGCGCAAGCACTTTCAAAGGTATTGGGACAAATGAGCACTTTTTTCAGGCTATGATGTAGCATAATCTGTCATTTTATCATATATATTAATGAATAAATATGGGTAAGGCTCAGAATTTTTTAAATAAACCTGCGCTCGTATGTCACCGATCTTGACGCGCTTTTGGTATGTTGTAGTACATGGTAAAAAAGACCCAAAACCAAAATTTTAGACCCCCTCCCCCCTCCTACCCCCCACTTCCGGTATAAACGTCCATTTTCTATCTATATTTTTTCTGAAGGCCTGAAGCAATTAAAAAATCTGAAAAAATTCACAAAAATACTTTTTAACAATCCAAACAACCTTGAATTTTTTCAGATTTTTTGAGTGCTTCAGGCCTTCAGAAAGAATTATTGAAAATTTTGAAAATTCATATACGGCGCTACGATGCAATACAAAGCCCGATATTTTTTCCCACTTATTTTTGACATCAAAATACATAATTTTAAATTTTTTCAGATTTTTTCATACAGAGCGCTGGCGGTTTTTAGCCGAAAAATGCCCTTTTTTTACGAAAATAATTTTTGTAGGGCGATATGAAGCTTTAAAAAATCTGGAAAAATTTTTTTCTTGTTTTTCAGGTCAAAATACATAACCTTGAATTTTTTCAAATTTTTTAATTGAAGGCTATAGCATCTGTGGCTAAAAAACGCTATTTTTATGAAAAACGGTTCCTGGAACCCAGAGGTTCCGGTAAAAAAATTTGAAAAAATTTTTTTCGAATTCCTTGTCAAATTTTAATAAATTTTGACCGTCGCAAAA